TAATATTTTTGGAAGATACAGATAATGATACATCTGATCTGTTTGCCTACCAGCCTCCATGTTGGTTCTTTGTACGATTAAATTACAAAATCCAAACACAGAAATCCAAAACCAAGCACACAAAGTTGTGCAATAGATGACAAAGTTTATCTTAAAGGGAGTTTGGATTATTATTTTTTTTAAGTTTAGTTTTATTAACAGAAGCTTTTACAAGATATTCATAAAATTGTATTTTAAAAAACTTTTTTATATATAGTCTTACAGACACACCACTGAAGGAAGATGATTTTAGATTTTTAACACCAAAAGAAAACAACAAAACAAAAAAATATAACAAACATTTCCCCTCCTTTCTCGTATGGTTCTCAATATCCTTTCATTTCTGTACAAAACACCTCCATCTGAGCACATTCATCTCTATATAATTCAACACACTACTTCTATCAAGGTACATAAGGGAGGAAGTTATATAAGAAGAACCTGCAAAGGGCTAAAAAAGGATATAAAGGAGCCCCTGATTTTTTCAAAGATTGTATGTTTCCCTCTGACATTATATGGTATCTTTTCGGGTGTGCAGTAAGACACTAACTCATTGATCCAGTGTATTACTGATGGTGAAATTTCAGATTTCCAGTTAACCAGGATGCATTTCTTCACTGTAGTGCACGCAAGTGCTTAATACATTAATAGTGTCCAAGAGAATCCGTAGTTCTGGGTCTTGTTCAATTTGCATTCCTATTGCACTTAAAGTTATCGCAATGACACATTTCCAAAGTTATTTTATCATTGGGCAACTCCATAGCATGTGACACCTAGAGGAAAGTTTACTGTCAATTCTATGCAGCCTGTAAGGAATGTAATGAATACACCTTAAGTCTTTTTCCCCATGTTCCTTTTCTAACTGTTTTATCATAAGTGTAACTTTCCACTGATTATACCATATATATTAGATATTATCAATTTTTTTTATCTGCATGATTTATCTGCTTTCAAGAGGAGTTTCTTTTGGGATGTCTGTGAATGTTTCTTTTGATTTCTCTTGAACCCAGTCTCTGATTTGTAAAAAAAAAAATGGAAAAAACTATCTTTGTTGAGCTTAAATTGTTCATTTATGAGTTTGGATTATTTAAGTGAACTAACAGGATAGCAGCTTTAAAAGTGGGCTGAACTCCAGGATGACAGCTGTTCCTCTAATAATCAAGTTACAAAATGCTATTCTGGCTTATCTGTAGCTGGGCAGAGCTGATGGCCGTTTTAGCTTCAGGCTAAATGGGCTAATTGAACATGGAGCTGGTAGAAGACACCTGCGACCTTAGAGCAGCTGATGTTGAAGCAGGCGTTTGGTTTCACAAAACGCTCCTTTATTGACAGGAGGAAAACCATGAGGTGTAGCGAAGATATTAGTTATAACAAAATGAGTAAAAATGCGATAAAATACACAAATAGTTCGCGAAAGTCTGTAAAAAATAACGTCAATTGTGTTTTTCTGCTAGCAACAATTTAGCTAGCAGCGAATGTCAGTTGGAGAACGTTAATGAAGCTTCTGACCCGTCAACAAGTCGTTTTTATTTTCTTTTTCTCTCTGTTTCTTCCTAATAAATGTGAGATAAGGATGATATATTATTACCTTGCCGTCAGTGTTGTCCAGCGGTTCGAGCATCTATGCCGGTTCGGCTAACCTCCTCTCCTGATAGCCATCATCCTCTGAGTCACAGAAACAGGATATGTACCAGCGCTGCAGTGGCGGAGTCTGGACACCAGGGGTCGCGGTTCTTCGGATTGCATCGAAGATCGTGTAATGTGACAATATCCCCTCTTACAAATAAATGTATCTTTTGTCTCCTAAAGAAAATCCCCTCCTTTTTTAATAAAAAATGTGTCTAAGACTTACATTAAATGTTATATATAAGTAATATCTAAATATGGATGAAATTGAAGCTTTATGGTAGCGGCTGGAGAGGCAGGTCTTAGTTGCCAAACCAGTCTGACTAGGAAGGGTTTAACCAGGTTAAGAAAACATGAGGAAGTTTATGAGGTAAAGCATCTTTTAAAGGAAATGGAAATGTCTGAATCAGACATCCTTCTGGAAAGTATTAGAGCAGTTCTTGTTTTAAAAAAATAAACTCCAGCATAACCCTCTCTGGCCAAGGAACCATCACTTTTTTACACACCCAAACAAGGAACTGGCAAAACTAATTCATCTATATATATTATAGGGCAAATTTCATATTCATAGAAGAAATTCAATAAAACTAAATCCTCTTAATAATACATACAATCTGCAAATCAGATCAATAATAAGTAAGCAAACTCCATAGTTAATATATACCAGAAATTGATACTTTATTTACCCCAAATACTAAATTCATCTCAAATCTTAAACCCCCTATAAATTTATTTACACTTATTATTATTGTTTTTCAATTCAAAAATTTCAATTCAGTTTATTTCTATGGCGCCAATTCACAACACGTCATCTCAAGGCACTAAAGTTCACCAAATTATATAGTCAGATTGATTCAAAGTTTTCTATCTAAGGAAAACCAGTTGATTGCATCGACTCATTGACTCTTCAGCAATCCCTCACACTAAGCATGCTTGTAGTGACAGTGGAGAGGAAAAACTCCCTTTTAACAGGAAGAATCTGCCGAGGCCAACTGGGGTTCAAGGAGACGGAAGCAGAGACATAAAAAGCAGCTCCCATGTCAGAGGATGAAGAGAGCACAGTCAGAGAAACAGGACTACACTGGGAAACAGGCCGATCTCGAACATCTATAATCTAGGGTGTTGATGGCAGCAGCACAGCTGATATTTTTCTCCAGGATGGAGTCACAGCCAAACAGGAACAGACCAGATGAAGCTACTATGAGAAAAAGCAGAGAGAGCAGAACGTTAGAGATTGATCTAACAGATTCTGCAGAATGAGAGAATAGAGATAGAATGAAGCAGAATGATGAAATAGGGTTCCCTATGTCAAATCTACTTCCTTTTATTATTTACTAGAAACTACATTAACATCAATGTCTCTTCTATAAATATTGTATATATTTTTTCCTGTATCTCATGTATATATAGAATTTGTCAATACAAAAAAAATGTCTGAATCCTTTTCAATTTATATGGCATTTATACAATCTTATACCCTGGAATTTTTTTTATTTCTTATTTTTCTATACTGTTCTTTGGCCTCATAGTTTATATACTATATTTGTTAAAATGCCTTATTGTTTTGTTTGAAGAAAAAAATATATATGGAATTTAAATAATTATTGTACACAGGTGTTTTTTTTAATCAGCATGCAACAAATAAAGTACCTTTGGGAAGCATTGCTATGCTTTAATTATAAGTATACATTTTTTCATTTAAAATCCCCATCATTAAATAAATGTATTGGATTTATTTAAAAAAAAATAGAACTTTACTCTTACTAAAATTTCTTGCCAAAAATTGCATTTATAACAAATAAATAGGTATGCATTTAAATGCATTTTAAGTTCAGTAAAAATGCAGCTGTTATCAGAATGCCTTGGAGGTTTTTTAGAGAAAAATTGAGAGAATCAGGGGATAGAAGATTATCAAAGGTTAAAAACAGCTGCAAACTTGCAAAGATAAGGTTTCTAAACTGGCAGCCCAGGAAATAAGAGCATTATTCTACTAATTTTGGAGGAAAGGCAGAATATAGACTTTAATCTGCACTTTGTTCAGTTTAATGTAAAATATACACTGCAAAAAATGGAAATCTAAATAAGTCCTTTTATCTTCAAATAAGTGCATTTTTTTCTTGAATTTAGGAGATGACACACCTTGCCAATGGAACAATTGGTAAAGTGTCTACTTTATTTTAAATTTACAATTAAAATGAGAAAACACAAGTGCATTTTACTAATGATCTTATTTTAAGATTTAAAGAAAAAACCTCAGGATATCAGATCATATTTTTTACCTGCTCAAGTTGAGGCCAAATAGACTTATTTTATGATTTTATTTTATTTATTTTTTTACTTATTCTATATAATTTTTCCAGTGTACTGTAGGAAGAGTATTTTCCTTCAGACACTACAGGGAATTTTGTCCACGTTTATGGATGGAACGGGGATATTTTGGAAAAAAAAAAAAGCTAGAAGCTCCAAAATATTTTAGCTTCACCTTCTAACAGCACATTATAGGATATTATTAAAGCAATATGATGGCCCTGTTTTGGATGGCCTGGTTAAAATCTAGACATAAATCCAAATCAGAGAGTTAATGTGGAGGCATATCTTAATTTCTGACTGATATTTTGTGCACAATTGTACCTTTTATTCAGAAAAACATGGCTTCTTATGTGTTGAAATTTAACGATCAGCTGTTGCTCACTGTTCTTTTTGCCCACACAGATCTACGGAAAAAAGCCTTTATCTATGCGGCTCCTTGTGTGTGAAATTCTTTACAAAGAGACTGGAAGTTGACTGAGTTTTATCCTTAAATGCTTTTAAGTTGAAAATAAAGAATTTGAAATTGGCTCATTTATCTGTCATTGTTTTTTTTTTTTTTACCTGTTAATGTATTTTTGTTCACTATGTAACTTTGGGTCCATCTTGCCCAGGACTCACTTAAAAAACAGGTTTTTGAATCTCAACGGGATTTTTTCCCTGGTTAAATAAAGTTTAATAATAAATTGATATAATTTGATGAAAAATTTAGTTCTTTGTTTAATTTTTAGTGTCTTTGCAAGAAACCTTCTCTGGAAGAGGCAGGGAGTGAACGGCCCAAAGCAATGATTTCAGGAGGAATTCATGCAAATGCTGAACACACCTTTCAGATTTTTATGCAATAAAATAAAACATATTAACACCTAAACCTCTGAGGCTGCAACGCTGACTAGATCATAACATATTTACTGTCTGCATTAGACAAGATGTTTCATATCAGCCTTGTTTCAACCAATGTATCCAATATTTATTTAAACGATGCATCATGCAGTTCACATCTGAAAAAACATTTAATTACATATAAAATGTAACAATATAACTTTATTTCTTATCCAATACACCATGTAATCAAGCTAATTACTCTGGCTTCTATACAAAAAGTAATTTGCAAACCTTATTTTTTGCCAGATTTCAAATAATTTGACAAATAGAAGTAATCCAAAACAAAACTGTCTCTGAAAATGTTTTATCTTTCCTTCTCAAATGTTGAAATAATGATCTACATTTTGTGGAAAGCTGACCTTCATTCCTGAAACTCTACACAGAAAAAGACATTGTTTATATTCCTAAAATCTGAGATTGGTACTCCAGTTAGAACCATTTTCTAAAACCAGGCAATTAAAACTTGGGGTAATAATTAATGCAGATTATAAATTAACCTAAAACAGAATCAAATGCAGCTTGGGTTTTACTTTCCTGAGTTCAGCTCAGTAATCATTGTTCAAGAAAAACGGAGAATGTGGGAAAAAATGGGTTAATTCAAGCAGAGAAAAACCACTTCTGGCCAAAAACAACAAACAAAACCTTCAGAGAGCACGATTTCCTGAAAAGCTCAACAGAGAACAATGATTGTGCACATAAACCTGAATCTTATTGAGGCAAGCATGATGCTAAGGGAAGAAAATCTCTTATTCACCATTTACTAAGGAGGCAGAATACAAACAGATGTCATATTTTAAGTTATAGGCATTTTTTTCTTTTCCTTGTAGAAAAAACTTGTATACAAAGCTGTTCATAACATTTCCATTGTTCATTGAGATCTTAAACGAAACACAAGACAGCTCTTTGGAGAGAAAATTAATTTATACTCTGGGTCAACAGGAAAACAATGAACTTATAAGAAATTATGTCCAAAAACAACAATGATTCAAAAGTAGAAAGCAAAAGGTTTGGGTTTTTGTTCCAGGCTGCTCTCTGTTTACGCTCCTGCATCCGTCTGAGCTGCTGAGTATCTGTAGGTGTAGAGCTTGTTATCAGCACCGCCGCTCAACATCATCTGGAAAAATTAAACACAGACAGCATTCAGGCATTGAAATCAGATTTTCAGGGAGTTAATGGGAAACCAGATGGTTTATCTTACCCCGCTGTCTGTCCAGTCTACACAAAACACTTTGTCCTCATGAGCTGCCAGGTCATACAGTGGAGCCTTGCAGCTGAAACCGACAGAAAAGAGAATGAGACAAACTGCAAAACGGGCTGAAGCTTCACTAGAGTCTGAGAAAATGACCTCAGGTTATTCTGACAAACGCAGGAAGCTGCTCCAAACAGAGCTAATCTTACTTGCTTCCACATGGTTGGAGGGAACAGAATGTCCTGCTCCTTGTGTCTGCAGTAATTATTCCATTTATACTGGAGCAGCATGAGCACCGAGCACGCATCCAAGTTCATTAGCTACTGAATATCAATTCCTAAGCAGCCAGGAAACAAGAGGAGGAAAACCTCTGCTGCTGGTTTGAATCTGCAGTTTTTTTTTATAAAGCATATTTAGAATATTTAGAATACCCCAGTTTTGTAAGTACGTTTTTGTCATTAATATTAATAACTACTTTATAATTCCAATGTGTATGGTATTGCTGCTATAGGCTTAGACTGCTGGAGGACATAGGGACCCCTTTTCATCATTCTGCTTCTTTCCATCTCTAATCTCTCATGCTGCAGTATTTGTTAGATCAATTTCTAACATTCTGTTCTCTCTGCTTTTTCTCATAGTAGCTTCATCTGGTCTGATCCTGTTTGGCTGTGACTCCATCCTGGAGAGAAATATCAGCTGTGCTGCTTCTATCAACACCTTTGTTTCTAGATGTTGGAGATTGGCCTGTTTTTCAGTGTAGTCCTGTTTCTCTGATTGTGAGTAACTGGCTGTGTGTTTCCTGGACGGGGCCACCTGTGGAGCTGGTTAACAGCTGCTTTTTGTAACTCTGCTTTTCTTTCTACGTCTGCTTCTGTCTCCTTGAACCCCAGTCAGCCTCAGCAGATGGCCGCTCACACTGAGCCTGGTTCTGCTTGAGGTTTTCCTTTCCACTGTCGCTACAAGCGTGCTTAGTGTGAGGGATTGCGGAAGAGTCAATGAGTCGATGCAATCAACATTTCATAAATGGTATTAAAAGATTTTGATAGCCAAAACTAAAATTAATGGGTTAAGATGTCAAAAGATGCATAATTATTTGTTATAATGCTGTTTGATGGCAACAAAAATATTTTTTAGGCTTTTTAAAAATACTATATTCATGCCTTTGAGACAGAATTGCTGTATTATAATTATAAATGAACCCAAAGGAGTAAAAGCATTAAATTTGTCAAAAAATCCTTTATTTCAACATGTTTTTTTAAAATATATATAACTAAAAACTAGTTTAATTGCCACAGACCTTCTTGTGTCCCACAGTTTAACCAGATTGTCCAGGGAGCCAGAGACCAGCTGATGCTCATGGGAAGGCGCCCACTTAACTGCGGTGACCCAGCCAGTATGGGAGGTCAGAGACAACAGCACCAAGGCGCCGTCTGATGAGGTCAGCAGTAGAATAAATCACATTAGGAATTAAGAATTGGGAGGAATCTGAAGAAAAGGCAGTTTTTGACTTATTTTGGCTTTTTTTTTATTGCTACCTTTGGTGCGCGGGTCCCAGAGTCTGATGTGTCTGTCGGTGCTTCCTGAGGCCAGCCGGCGGCACAGGGGAGAGTAGGAAATGCAGTTGAACACTTTACTGCCCGTCTGTGGAAAAAAACAAAAAACAAAGAAAAAAGCATTTTGTTTATCAGTGCATGAAAAGAAAATTCAAAAGATAAAAGAAGATCAAATCAACAATCCATATTTGTCTCTACAAAAAACTTGCATCTTAAACAGACAGGTTTGGCTTGAATGTGCTTCTGATAATAACATGATATAGCTCATATAATTACTTTATACCATTATTTCAATGTATTTATTTTATTATTATTCCTGGTTTGCATCACAAACTTAAACATATTTTATTGTGATTTTGTGTTACAGACCAGAAAGCACCAGAAAATTAGCAGGAAGTCTTATTTGGCACAATCATTAGAGTTCATAGCAGGAAACAGGAAACAAAAGGCACTTTGGTAAAAATGATAATAATCATACACTAAACATTTTATTATTCCTATGGAACATGGTGGTCTCAGTACAGTCTTTTATAATGGTGGGCTAATAGGCAAAATCATTTTTCGCTGAACAGATTAGTGTTTTTGTTAACCCTAGAAACCAATTGGGGACTTTTAGCTTTAGATAAATTCGGTTTCACATTAATTCTTGCACAAAGAATTCTTATTATTTTCCTTTCTTTATTAAGCTAGTCTCAAAGAGCTGTTTCCAGCAGCAGTTAGCTTTTAGCACTTTCTGAACACCAGTTGTGATGCAAACTGATTGACAGCAAAGGCAAAAATAAAATGCTTTACATGATTAGGAGTCAAACTAGCTTAGATTTAGTAGGGGAGTGGCGGCATAGAGGTTCTGACTTAAGAGCCCCGCTCTCACAGACTGACATTCTGGGTCTCTGAACAAAGACCCTTAACCTCCGATTGCTCCCTCTGTGCCCCATAATGGCAGCCCACTGCTCCCTGAGGAGATGGATTAAATGCAGAGGTAAATTTCTCCAATATGAAATCAATAAAGTTAAATTATTTTATTATTTATTTTTTATTAAGACTGGTCAGTCTTCAAAAACTGATTAATTAATCCTTGACACAGCACATTTTTAACTTTTTTTTAAAAAAAATATCCTTCCCTCTTCTCTTTCTGTCAGTTAACCATAAAGTCACTGTAAATAAAGGATTACATCTTAAAAAAAAGGAAGGTCTAGTCAAAGTTCAGGCCTATATCCAAGTGAACTTCTTTGGTAAGTCTTGTTAGTTCCTGTTTCCATTGCAACTGTGAGAAATATTGTTATTCTGCACAGAAATGGCAGAAATTTTCCATCTGAAGATGCAAAGCTGGTAAAGATGAGTGCTGAACAAATAAAATAAAATTTTACAAACAGGGGCAGCTTTTTCAGACTGCTGCAGATTGCCGTAGGCCACACTTTTAGAATATAAATGAAATTTTGTGGTCGTTTTGTGAGAAAATCTGGAATAGCTGAAGGGGCAACACTACTTCTTAAAGCAAAACATTTACTTCCATGGTAAATAAAAAAAAATAAAGCTCAAGAAACTTAATACTTGTCCAGCATGTCAGCCTTTAAACAGTCAGCTCAGCTCTTCTTACCAATGTAGTCTTCATGACTCCAGCTTCCACGTCCCACACTCGGATGGTGTGATCCCAGGATGCGCTGCACACCTCCTCACTGTCAGACCAAAGCACGGAGGACACCGCCTCGTTGTGCCCAGACAAAGTCATCAAAGGAGTCTGTGTCCATAAGGGGGAAATATGAGTCTGCCTTGGTTAAAATCAGGATGGATGACTTGTATTCTTCTCTGGTTAGTCGGTGTGCTCACCCTCGTCAGGCCGAGCTGCTGTGTCTTCTGTTTCTTCCTGGGTCTGTCAGCGGGTTCCTCCACCTCGTCCGCCTCATCTGTGGGAACTAGGAGCGAAAAAATAAACATTAATTTGTGCCGTTTGATGCCGGAGATGTTATTATGCCACCTAGATTGGTATAAAAGAACATTAGAGAGCTTTTTGATGGGCATTTTCTTTAATAACTTTGTGCATAGAATAAAAGCTGTTCTTACCTGCTGACCAGATCTTCAACATTTTGTCCCAAGAGCCACTGCAAAACTAACAACGATGAAAAAAAACAACATTTGGAGACTTTAAATCAAAACGTATCAAATAATTTATATTGTTTGAAGTCCTAATTAGTTACCTTAGAACCTGTGGGGTCTGTGGAAATAGCATCAACGCTTCCTGTGTGTCCCCGACAGCAGTGTCGGGCCTTCACCTTGTTCCTCTCAGAGTTCCACTCCCACAGCAGCACCGTCTGGTCCAGAGAGGCCGTCAGGAGCAGAGACGTCAGGCCGTCTGAGCAGAAAACACACCTTGAGGTGAAAACCTGATCATCATCACTCATAAGGGACGCGCAGTTCTGACCAGCTTACCTCTTTTGACCCAGGCCACATCCTTCACCACCTCAGAGTGTCCAGCCACCGTCATCACCGCCTTCCCCTCTAAAGACCATATTCTGGCCGTCTTGTCATAAGACCCAGTTAAGATCCTGTAAAAGAGGGAAAAGACCCAGGATTAATATCTAAACAAAACAAATTGTTGACGTTTTGCTGCGTTAGCCGTAAACTTACCACTCACTGTCTGCATGCACGGAGCTAATCCAATCATCGTGCATCATACACTCCTCCGGCTCCGGGGCAGTGATCCGCTGCACGTATTCGATCTCCACTACATCTTCCTGAGACAAACCCAGACACATATAGTTTTAAAGCAGGATACAGTGTTAAATAAAAGTAGCTCAGGTTTAGGTCATACCGTCGATATTCCCTCCGTCTCCATGTGAGTGACCAGTTGTGTTCGCAGGAACTGCCCCCTGACCAGGAAGTCAAACTCCACTTTACTGTGAGACTCTGAAGGAACAAAAAATAAACAAAATCAGACTCTAAGTTCAGAACTGGTATATTGAATTTGTAGTTGTTGTTTTTTATTATATTTATTTAACTTAAAAGATATATTCCGGGTGGATCATCTAAATAAATGGTCCTCCTAATTGTCAATCATTCTGGTGATATGTTTACGTAAGACAGTCCTACATGCTCATCCCCATTTTCACTTACTGGTGGTGAAATTGCAAATCTTCTTTTGGAAAATAAGCTTGTATGATTGATGCAAACAGCAACTTTTAAACAGAGCATGCACGAGGAGAAATAGACTCGTGCATGCTCTCGCACCTTTTTAATAGACGTTCCCTGTGTTGTGCATGTGCATTTTTTTGTGCACATGGAGAGGGCAGACCTTTTAAAAGAATTAGCAAAAATCCACCACAATACCTTTAATAGTGTTGTTAATGTGCATCAGGATGCCCACTTTCACTCTCTTCAGCGAAGAAAAAGAACTAATTAATATGGCAAGAAGTAATTCGACATCAGCCTAAATTTTTGCAGGATTTTGCAGAGGTGCAGAGTTTTTTTCCCCCCTCACAGCGACCAGAAAGAAAAGTTACAAAACAAACTCTGTTTCATGCATCTGAACTATACAAAAAGTATCTAGATCTTATGAAAAAACACATTTACATCTTTATTAAAGTTAGAACTAACGATTATTTTGCAAATCTATTAATAGATCTATTGTTTTTTCAATTACTTGATTAATAATCAGATAGCCAAAGGTTCCTTAAAGGAGATTTTTTTATTAAATTAAACCAGGTGAAACTAAAACTTTTCCACTTGAGGAGTTCTTGATAGTTTTTTAATCATAAATGCAAAATGTTTACATATTATAATAAAATTGTGATCTAATTACTGCTCTAATTGGGTCACTCACAACAGATAGATTGACTGAAGACATTAACAAATTGGAGCTGACCAGCAAACATCCTGTCGTTCTTACAGACAATGCTGCAAATATGGTTTGTGCAAAGAAGATAATGGAGCTCATGCATGTCTAATGTTTACTTTTTAACAAACAAGTTTGCACTTTTGACACAGTTTTGTTTACATTTCAAGTTTAAACAGATTTGCAATTTGCACTCTGTGTTTAATATGACATGAAAAATAAAATACATGATTATTTTAGAAACATGGTTGAACCACTTTCATTATTGTAAAACAGATCGAATTGAAAAGAATCGATTTAGAACTGTGTGAATCAAAATCAAATCGATTCAGGACTTTTATCCAAAATCCCCAGCCCTAATAAAAGCTGTTTAATAAGGTTTCAGGTGTCATAATTTTTAATCCATTTGTGTTTAACTGACCATTCTTGGCCTCCAGCAGTTTGTTGATGAGGTTGCTGAGATCCTGGACTTCAGAGGCAGCAGGGATGGAGAACGGGACATCATCTACAACATACCTGCATATAGAGAGAGGATCATCAGACTCTTCCTGATGCTATCAGATTCATAGCTACTGGCATAGAAATGATTGGCGTCCATCAATAAAGTAACACAGGCTAAGAATCTGGGGGTGAAAATGATTTACAGCTCAAATCCAACGGCTAAATAAACAGAAATCACAGTTTAGCTTTACTAACTAGCTGCTCGGTTAGCTTAGTCGCTGTTTCTGCTCAGTGCCGGTCTTACCTTTGATCTTCTGTGAAGAACCTCGCTTGTAACTGCGACATATTGGTTCTTTTTAAAACTAAATATCAGCTCTAAACAAATTCTCGTCTCTTTTCGGCTTCCTCACAACACATCCAACTCATGCAGTGTCGCCATGCGGTGTGTGGGGAGACTTTCCAGTCGAAAACAGATTGACTCCGTCGACGATTTGGATAGACGGTCGTCTATTCATGTCTGGTTGTTGACCTTTACCCGTGTGCGCATACGCGTCTCCTACGTCAGCGCCATCTTGTGTGTGGCACTTAAGTTATGAGTGTAACATTTTCTGTCTTTCATATAAAAAGCTATTGAAAAAATTACTAAAGAGGATTAGGGCCACTGAAATAAAAAGGTAACTGATTTTTAAATTTAATTTCAGTTTAATAAGTCAGAATTCTGTCTTTTTACCCATATTAAAATGAAATTACATTTAAAAACCAGTTACTTTTTTTTTTTTCCCAGTGGCCCTAATCCTCTTCCGTATAAAATACATGGAAAAAAATAAATAAATCCTCATTATTTTTCAAACTTTATTGTCATTCGAATCACATAATCAAACTAAAGTAATAAAGAATAAACCCAGTCAAAAAAAAAGGCTGTTTTAGAACTGATCACTTTACAATGCGGCATTATAACTAAAGTGCAATCACTATTTAATGCCCTGTGCAATAATCTGTTAGAGATGTTTTTATATATATATATATATATATATATATATATATATATATATATATATATATATATATATATATATATATATATATCCATTTAGTGCAATAACCCTGTATAACGTTTTTCAGGCCAAGGACCCCCTAATTATATATAGTATGAAATTGTGTTATATCAAATTGGTCCTATAATCACTCTATTACATATGGTGTAATGTAACGGAAGTAATTTCTCCCTGGGATTATTAAAGAGTTCTGATTCTGATTCCTGGTTGATGAGACAGGTGTTGTGAAAGAGCTTGAAAGAGCTCCTGTGTGTCGCTGAATGTGAGCATTGATGACTGAAAGACATCTTCTGCCTCCATTTATCTGTTTACTACAGTGTGTTGAATTCATGTTAATGTGTATTTAAAGACATTTCAATTTAGTGGAAAAAATTGCAGTGGGGAATATAAAAAAGTCTAATCAAACAAAACTTTGTAAATTTCTCCACTGTGAGATCAATAAAGTCAATCAATCAATGATTTCATTCAGAAATGCAATAAAACCCAATCAAGTAATCTTTCCATAAAACTAGAATTTAACTTTACCAACTTCCATCAACAATATTCTACATTGCTGGTTAAGAAATTGTGAGCCACTACTCTCAGTGAACCTGCATTTTTCACAGTCAGTATTACACACCAGTGCTATACCTACCTATATTTTGTAAATTTACATTTTTTTGTTAAGCTGCTGTCTCTGTAAACTCAAAATTTGCTTAAAAAAACTATATTTTAAATCTTTTTTCATTATATAAATAATTTAAGTGCACCAATCCCACCCAAAAAAGAACTAAAAATAGGCAAATACCTTTACAGAGTAGGTTTACTTTCCATTTAGTTATCCAGTTGAAAAACAAAATCTACATTCCATTGTTTTCCTCTCAGCTTCACATGCAATCCACATTTATCCTGTTTTAGGTCAGTTAAGAACTCAAAATTCAAACTTTGGTAAAACAGCTGTTTAAATAGAGGATTGTAAGAATTTAAATAAAGTTTAAGTGGGTTTGCATGCTCTATCATGAGTACCTTTAAAAAAAAAAAGTAAAGAAAACCCAAATAACGTTATGTTTTTTTAAAGCTTTTTAGATGCAATCCCACTAATTAAGTTGAGAGGAGGTTCTATTTAGGATTTACTTGCATATAGGTCTGTAAATACGTTATCACCTCTTTTAAATCAATCAAAGCATATCAGAATTAAATCATTAAAATTAAAATATAGGTCATAATTGTGAACATTTATATAGCTGGTCCTTTGGTACAACTTTGAAATGCTTGATGTCATAAGATTAATAATTTCAATCATATTCAAGGATAGAAAGTGTCATTATCCATTGTTAAACCGTCGGGTATGAGATGAAAGACCATCCAGTTCATCAGTGTACTACAAGGGAAAAAACATACTTTTTTGAAGACAATAGAATACAAATATCTAAACAAAGGAAACGTGCAATATTATAAACATAAAGCACAAGGGAGTTTTTCTGCAACATGGACTGGTACGCTGAACAAAATGTGTGGAAAACAGTATGTAGAAACACTAATCTCTAAAGACATCAACAAGGAAGTTTTAAACTTTAGGATCAAATCCGTCTTCCAAATGAACAGGGAGCCTCAGAAGTGCTTTTAAGTGGCCATCACAAACTGATAAAAGAGCTAAAAATGTGAGAACAACAGACCTCAGATATACCAGTCCCATCAGGAGGGAGGGGCCATGACTGTGTGCATCTGGTTCATGCTTTATATTATTTTGTGTAAAGATTCTTCTTTGTGTACTTTTTGTTTTAAATGATTTTACTTTCCATTTGTTCTTTTTATTATGTAAAGCACTTTGAATTTCCTTCCTGCTGAAATGTGCTAAAGAAGTACTGCTCTACTTATTGTTCCAGCTAACAGATGTGAGAACCTTTTGAGTAGAAACCCCACATTTACATAAAAAATTATTCTATTTCATAGGAATTGTGAGATAACTTCTAATAACTGAAGAAAATCAGAGTTTCCTAGCTAATCTAATCTCACTTTAGGTTTTTACAGCATCCATTAATGTAAAAAAATGCCATTTCTTTGAATGACAACAAATTTTGAAGCTGTTTAATCCTTATTTTTTGTTATATAAACACAAAAATCCCAAAACCTTTATCCCAGTTAACTCACATCCAAGCAGTAATTTAACAAAAACCAAAGCAATCTCTTGCTAATGTAGAAGTTTTAGGCAAATATCAATAAATTTCTCTAAAGTAAACCAAAAATAGGGATGATTTTGAAAAAGCTACTTGTCAAATTAAGGCCAAATTTTTCCCTTAGTGAGACGATTTGAAATGTCATCCTGTACCTATGAAGGCAGGGAAAACTTTGCCACAGCTGTGACCCTTCTCACAGAGTCGATAAGCATTTTCTTGCAACAACATCTCCACACCAAGTTCAGCATTTCAAACCATAAAAACACGACTTTCACTTATACTACGGTATATAAGCTGATCACACCAAGCTCCATTTGTCAAAATAACTAAAGGAAGCTTGCTAGTGTTGTGTCAGTAGGACTTTTCTTTAGATGCTTAAAAATAGAATAGCTAGAAAATCTTATACAAAAAAAAAAATGAAATTATTCTGTGGTCTATAATGTATCCCATACCGTTCACATTCGAATAAGAGCAGGAAAGCTCATTCAGCAACAGATCGCTTCATCCTAGAGGGGAACACTGGAGTACTTGTGCAGGTCCTTCCTCCTAGCTGCTATTAGACTTAATATGTGCTGCTCTTAAATCTTAGTAAGGGCATTTAACAATAAAGGCTGAAATTTGTGGTTCTGAAGATTTAATGTTTGTTTTTTCTTCCGCTGCTTTTCTTGTTCTTAAAAAGCTACCCCTAGTACTGTGTGCAATACCATTACCTGCAAACATTTTAGTGTTATATTTTTATTGTTTATGAAACATTTTTGTTTGACAGGCAGGTTCCATAGCTTGAATTTTGATCCCCTTTAATTTAAGGTTAGCTCCCAGAAAGAAGAGGATAACCTGAAAGTTATCCTAGTCATAATACTTAAATAAAACTACTCCTTAGAGCAGGGGTGTCAAACTGGTTCCAGAAGGGGCCGTGTGGCTGCAGGTTTTCTTTCCAACCAAGCAACACCACACCAGACTCCAGTCATCTCATCAAGTGAGTCCAATCTGAACATGATGACTTGATTAGATGAATGGAGTCTGGTGCTACTGCCTGGTTGGAAAGAAAACCTGCAGCCACATGGCCCTTTCTGGAACCAGTTTGACACCCCTGCCTTAGAGTGAACATAACAATGTAACCCACAACTGGACCTGAGAGTGACTGACCCCTGCTGGTCAGTCATGGAACCACAAACCAGATGACAAAGCTTCATTAGAAGCACACACACTGGAAAAACACTACAAATAAGTAAAAGAGTTCTTAAATTAAGTGTGCTTACCCTTAATTTGAGTCGATAAATGAGACAGTTTGACAATCGAATCAGTATTTTTACTCTTAAAATAAGATTACATAATATGTACAGTACTTGAAAGAAAAATACGATTGTGTTTTCTCATTTTAAATGTAAATTGTCTAGTTCTAGTAGCAAAATGTCTTTTACCTCCTCAATCCAAGAACAAATGCACTTATTTCAAGAAAAAATTACTTGTCAAGATTTCGATTTTCTCCAGTGCAGAAATCCAGTCTTGGCTTCTGTTGGCTACAGGAAGTTTTTAAACATGCATTTTTGTAAAATACAATTTTTTTTTATTTGGTCACATTTAGATTCTCGTAAAAACACAAGTCTCACACGACTGAAATGAGAAATCTGCATTTATTTCCTCATCGTTCACATTCGATCACGCTTGCAACAGATGTCTCAACAAAGACTATGTAAAAATAAGATGGTAGAAATAAACAATAGAAACTAGTTAAGATTCAACTCAAACTCTGGAGAGGTCGTCTATCTCACCCATTAAATGAGATCTGCTTAAATCCTTTTTTTTGAGGACTTGGGATAAAAATATATGATGTAAATCCATAGAGAAATAAAAACTAAAATAAAATATATACAGTGTCCGATATTTTTACTCGTCATCCTCTTCTTCCTCCTTCACCTTCTTTTTTTTCTTCTTTTTCTTCTTTTCTGTTGACTGAAAGGTAAAGACAAGAGCATTGGAAAAAATATATATTTTTAATGAATGATTTTATATAATCTGAGTGAAGCTTACCTCACTAACTGGCATCTCCTCCTCTTCCTCCTTCGGCTCTTCTGCTTCCTCCTCTGCCTTCTTGTCCTTCTTTTTCTTCTTCTTCTTGGGAGTCTCTGTTGCGGTTTCAGCCTCTTGCTCTGAAAGACAAACCAGACGGACTCTTTGAGCATCGTGGTTCCCTGAACGCCTCGGATGAAGCGTTTCAAGGGTTTATACAGGAACGAGTAACTCTTATTTAATGCTTTTTAATGCTCTTTAAATGCTCTTAGATATAATTTTAATTCCATCAACAATTATCCATGACTCATATATAAATAAAAACACAGCAAAATCCTTTATCTTTACTATCGACAGGCTAAAGCCATGTGCCAAATTCCTTGTTTTCCAGCCACTTTAGTTGAAGTTTGCATTTTCCCCACATTCTCTAGCCTTTTCTCTGAACAAAATGCATTTCCGATTAACCGAAAGCGGTTCCGCAAAACATGCGGAACCATTTATATCTGATATATCTGACCAAGATGTTTTTATAAACTTTTTTTTTAATAAATCATTTTACATGCCATTATAGTTACATTTAATGAATTTTTGAATGCCAATTAAGGCCTTGATATAAAAAAATAATGATTTTTAATGACCTGCAGAAACCCCGGTTTCCATAAATTTCACACACCTTCTGTCAGTGGTTCCTTTTTGGGTTTTTTGGATTTAACCACCGGTGTTACTGGGTCCTGCTCGCTGGTCTCCTCCTCGACTTCCTCAAACTTCCTCTTCTTTGAAGTGGACGGAATCGTTGAGTCTCCGGAAGGATCGTAGATTTTCACCTCACTGAGTGAAAAATAAATTACGTTTTAATTATTCATGAACAGCTTATAAAACAATAGGAGGAACACAAATGTGTAGCCTCTCACCTCTTGTGCTGGTATTTGTCTGCTTTTGCCATCGCTTTGCCTGTTCCACTGATTCGTCGGATCTGTGGAGTAAAATCAGGAGTTTAGGCCTTTTTCACAAACCACATTTTAAACTAAATTAACCTTTATTGTTACATTATTTTTTATTACATTATAACATTATTTGTTACATTATTTAGTTGGCCTCAGAATTATGAGCTGCATAACGTCTAAATGTTGCATTTGTCAAACTTAGTTGGCAGAAAACTCTAATGCACATTAACACAGTGGCGGCTGCATCATGATATAGAATGCCTCTTACCCCTGGAGGGTCAGTGCTAGTTACAGCTGATTGGAGGAAAGTCTTGAAAGAAACCAGTTGGGACGAAAAACAGTCCTAAGCTTACATTGATGCATACAGCATGTTAGACTGGCACAGTCAAAGCCCTTTGTTAAAAACTAAATAATTACAGGCTAACCAACTGTATTTTTTCCCCTTGTTCGACCTGCATACAGACATTGCTGCAAATGTCAGTTATGGTTTCTTTTTTTTAGAGATGTCAACACCACCAACATGTCTACCTCAGCATCTCTCCTGTAGCACTCGTACGTCAGTTGTGTGGATGGGACCGGCCAACGCTGCAGCCATAAACCCTCATATTGTTACATAAGTTATACTAGTTGAACTAACAGTGTCCAATATTTTGTATTAAGCCAATATGGACTCATGCCAATACTTTTAAATCCCTAAAAATAACAAGACTTTAAGCTTATCCTAAGTTACTCCTCAATCAATATGACAGAGTTTGAGGTGTTCTACACAGAAGAATGAGGAACATTTCCGTCACTTTGTGGACTGTGTGCTGTAACAGTTGCACACATTTTAAGAGCTGAATTAATGCAGTTTTATGCTCGACATGTCCAGAAGGTTAATTTAGCACCACCTGAGTGGAGTTGCCCCCCCCACACCTTCTTCAAATCAGACAGAATTGGTGTCAAACGTTTGTGCAGCAATGTTCATTTGTGCCGCTATCATTTTTTGAGAAATGTTTCTAGAGTTCAAAGGTCAATCAGAAAATTGCAGACATTCTTTTTTTGCTGCACAAACGTTTGACACCAATTTTGTTTTAATTTCACAAAAGTTTCATTAATATCTCCAAAGCCAAGGAAGCACAAACGAAAATGAGTGCTGCACAGACGGAGTCGTAGACACCCATTTCATCTGATTTAAAGAAGGCGGGGCTGGTTGACCTTTGATGACCTCTAGAAACATTTGTTTACTTCTTCAAAATGATAGCAGCACAAACAAAAATGTTTGCTGCACAAAGGTTTGACAGAGATTTAGTCTGATTTGAAGAAGGTGGGGAGGCAACTTCACTCAGGTTTAAACACCCACATCTTTCCATGGTCTGTTTTTCATCATCACGCACTTGGGCAGGAAGCTCGAAAAAACATCTAGATGTCACATGATTTGCAACATAAATATCACTATGATCCACAGATTGTGGAAAAAGTAAAGAGTTTACCATCCTTCTTGGATGACATGAAGAGGCTTTGAAAATGTTGGAAATAGCTATATAAAAGCTGCAGACATTAAGATTATGAGTCTCACTTTTTAGAGAAAAAAGATAAGATAGTTTGAATCTCACATTAGTTCAAAAGCCGTTTGCTGATTATTCTTTTCAGATGCACAGTATTCATATTATAAAAACACTGTACAGTAGAGTGTTTTGTTTATTTTCTTAACTGTTACTTATTCTGTTTTCTTTATTCACTTTTATTAAGGTCCCTATTTGTGCGACCACTTTTGCTGTAATCTTTTGCTGCTGAAACGCTACAATTTGACCATTGTGGGACAATAAAGGGATTTTCTATATTATTTTAAAAACATTTGATGGTTCAGGGGTGTCAATACTTATATGGAGTACTTTAAGAATGTTAAACATCCAGCTTCCTCAGACTAATAAATAAACGCACCCCTCTGTCCTCCAGCTGTCGCAGTCTAGCCTCCAGCTTGGCCCGGTTCTCTACTCCCATCTCTGCATTGGTGTCTTCTCCCAGAGCGTCGTATCGAATGGCCAACGACGTTTTGGCCGCCAGCATTCTGGAAATCTGGACATCAGACAAACAGCAGATTATAGATTCACCTTCTAACACGCAGAGAGAGTTTAACAGAAGAAGCACCGTCATCCTGAACTCACCTTTCCTTTGTTCTTCGCCGTAGTCTGTCCCACTAACGAGGCGTGATAGATCAGACCATATTTGGGCGTGTCTTTGCGGGTCTTCAGGGCTCTGAATAGAGCCTTTTCGGCTCCAAGGATCTGTACTGTTGAGGCCGGGTGCTTCGCCAGATTCAGAAGGGATCCTAAACATGCAGCAAGAAACCAGATAATGAGGAACAGCTTTCTCTTCAGACAGCTTAGGAGGTTTAATAACGACAGCTCAGATGAGGTAGTGACTTAAAACCATCAAATATATTCAGTAAAATGACATGATGTCGTCATCATCACCGCTGTCGCGTTAAATTCTAAAGATTTGTTTCCATAACTTACCGGCATGTGAGATGAGGCGGGCGCCGACCAACTCGCCCACCATCACCGTCAGGTTGGGGGCGATAGCCATCATTCTGTTCTTCAGGTAGTCATAGAGTTGAGCGCGGTAGTCTGAGATCTCAATGACCTGAGGAGAACGATAGATCGACATCAGAGAAACGCACAGCAGGAGCCCCCTGCTGGATAAAACCGGGACTGTTCAGAGGAGGTAGTGACTGACCCACACCAAATGTTTCAGGAAAACGACGACTGTCAGCATCATCATCACAGCCGCTTCAATCATCTTAGCTCTGATGCTAACAGACTCTCACCTGGTCGCACAGGTGCTGGATGTTCCCGATGTCCTGCTCTGACACTTCGGTTCCCATGGAGATCTCTGCAGCTAGTTTAACCTCTGCTTCGATCTCCTCTGGGAGGATGTCGGACATGTCAGTGGTGGACACGTTGGTACGGTCTCCTGCAAACACAGAGAGGTTTTAGCTTTTCCTTTTAAAACTACAATGAAAAGAAAACCCCAAAACAAAAATGAATCCGTTTTCCTTCCTAATGAAGCTCACCGACTTTGCGGACGGTCTTGCAGTACGCCAGATTGTCCGTGACAACCTTTCCCAGCTCAGGGAAGTGCCAACCGTACCACTCTCTGCAGCGCATGATGTAATTGTTGAGCTCCTTGTCCAGGTCATCCAGAAGCGCTGGAAGATGGAGACAATAGAAGGTCACTGATGGGATAAACACTTTACTGCAGATATAAGGAACTCAGATCTACAACTACAGAGAGGAAGTGACTGCACACATGGTGCAAGGGTTACAATACAGACAAACTAGATTTTGGTCTGAACTTTGACTAAGCCAATTAAGGATATCAGTCTGTTTTAATATGATTCAACTCTGACTCCATGTTTAAACTTCACACTGATTAAAATAGGGATGCACCGATCCACTTGTATTCACTTCTGATCAGAGTCCAATATTTGAATGAATCTGAAAATCCTAGATACATTTCCAGAGGGTTTTCTTTAATTATGATGATTATTTACTACTACTTTTTTTTTTATGAGGCTGTCATTAATTCCTAGGAACAAGCAAATATATGTACAAATGTACAAAAAAGGCTAATTGAGATTAGCATAGATTAGAAAAGGAAGTCATAACCAACCCCTGAGGATAACTATACAGTTTCAATCTGATTGTTTATTAAATCAAAGAAGCTTAAAGCTGTAAACTTTTCTGCAGAAATCTTTGCCTCATCTAATTTTAGTTTCCCCATTATCTCAGATTACATCACCACAGCAGGAAGCTGCAAAACCTAAAAAACAAAAAAACAAAACCCGAGCCCCATTGAAAGCAACAGAAACTCTACTAATTTATAATTTATTGTACTTTTGAATACATATCTATACTTGGATTTTACAAATTTGCATAATTTTTCTTCTACTTTATTATTTTTCACAGCTTTGTCTTGGTCTGCATCACATAAAAACCAGACAAAACAAAAGTTTGTGGTTGAAGGAGAACAAATAGTGAAAATCCACACTTACAGATGGCCTGAACGATCATTGTGTCGACCTTGTCCGGACTGAACTTGAGCTTGTAACGGGATAAACTAGAAACAAAGGAAATAAATATATCTGTTAATTAATTTGTTGATGTCTTTAGTAAGTAAGAGAAAAAGACCAAAGAGCCTCAGTGGTAGTGACGAATGCTGAAGAAAATCCACACCGTTGTTTCAGACAGCAGAATGTAATCATAGGCAGCAGCTGATCTAGAGCCTCCTTCTGTTCGCTACCAACCTGTGAGCCAAACCCAGCGACATGGCGCTGAACTCCCTTGGAGGAAGCCCAGAGATGAGGCCCTCCATCTGACTCCGGATGCATCTCATGAGCTCGGCCACCGCGGGGCTGTGAACGCAGCTCAGGTCCAGCTTTTCCTAAGAAACCCACTTCGATCAGATATCTCATCTTTAACGCATGCTGATCACAATCAGTATGTTTCTTACTTACTTTAATGACTCCACCCAGTTTAGCATCGCTAATGGCCAGCTGTTCATGAGCTTCTTTGGCTACAATTTTCTTCAGAACCTTCTTCAGACTCTTCCCAATTTTTCCTTCGACAAGTGCAGTGGCCGCTTAGAAGAAGAGGAGAAAAGTTATTCAAACACGTTCAAAAGATAAATCAAAGCTGCTAAATCATGTTTCTATGCCACAAAAGCCTTGGTGGAGGATCTATACTATGACCTTTCCAAATTTATTGCATTAAAAGTCAAACTTGTGTCTATTTTAGAAAGAATCCAAATAAAAATTGTGCTCATCTACTCATAATCAAATATACAAGTTTTTCTGGTTACAATGTAAATATAAAATATCACCAAGGATGTTAATGCTACGTTCACACCTAAAGCAGCAAAAGCTGCTAGTTTACATGCAAAGTCGATGGTTGACGCGCATCATAGCGCATCAAAACGTCACGCAGTGCGTTATGAGCAGCAGGAGCAGCACGTCGTGAGCGTTTGAGCATCTGATGGGCGCTGCAGCAGCTGCTTGAGTGGGAAAAATTTAACTTTTGCTGCTCGATGCACCACATCACCCAATCAGAGAAGCTGATTTGGGCAGATCACTATGATCACTCCTCTGAAACAGTTTCTTACCGCCTAAATTAACTTAAAATGCCGGCAAAATATGTTCGCTTTTATTAACCTGGTGCTTGTAGTTTGGATTACATACATGAAAAACGCCTTCAAGGCTGCATCAAAAATGAAGCAGCTTGTGCGTTTTTGCTATTTGCGGTCTGAACGTAGCGTAAGACTTTTATGAGGCATAGTAGACAATATGATCTCAGTGGTAGTGACGATTGTGGAAAACCTCATGTTTATATCAGCCACACTCAAACATCACAGACCAGGTTTCGTGCTTCTCTTAGAACAGAGGAGAACTTTTATTACCTGCTAAAGCCTCTGTTGTGTCCTGGAACTTCTCAAAGTGCTTCAGTTTCAATCTAGTGGTAAAAAAAAAAAACAGAAATCAATCAATGGGAGCCCACTGATTGGACCGTGTGAGATCACAGGGTATAAAACATCTAAACGTACATTTTGTTGGCTTTTTCAGGAGTTTCAAACTCCTTATACAGGCTGTCCACCTGCTGCAGCTTAGATTCATCAAGGACCTAAAAAAATCCAGGAGAAAAACAGATAAATAAAACAAGATCAGCAATGAAATCAAAGCTTTAAATAAAAACTAGCCTGCAGAATTAGTTACCAAACAACCTTATAAACATAACCTAAAACATAATGGGCATGAACATGCAAATGTTATGATTACACTTGTATCAAAATGGAACCTCTTAAACAATTGGTGTAACTTCCCACCATGATCTGACCTGCGTATATCTTTATAGATAATTACTAAACTATTAATGTACCCTGACATTTCAAAGGCTTATATTTAATCACATCAACAACAAAAAAAGTGACTGATTGAAGCAGACAGATTAAAAAGCTCATCTCCACGTGGAATAACCAGGCAGATGAGGCTCCATGTGCGCACGTGCTTACAGGCCCATTGAAATGCTAGCTTAGGGGTAGCATGCTAACTACTAAAGACATGCATGATCGCGTAAAATAAAACTAAATATAGCATTTTAACACATGAAAAGCAATTTCACAACTTTAACATCACTTTAACTGCACATCGAACTCACAATAAACGGTATTTTCAGAGAAATGTTAGCTAACCGAGCCTTACTTCGCAGGAAAAAAGGGTTAAAATGTGAATTCTGCCACAGCTAAAGGGAAATAAAAACTCTTATACTTACTTTAAATATGGCATAACCAGCGGCGGTCTCAAATAGCACTAACATTTTGAAAACTGTGTGTGAAAGCTCCCCCGGTAGGAGAGCTGCTACAGCTTAGCTTCTCCGCAAACTGTTTCAGACACGCGGAGCGCAGCGGAGGTTCTTCTTCTTCTTCTTTTCTATTATGGTGGATCGCAAGTAACTTTAAGGTGCATACTGCCACCTACTGTACATGAGTGTGTAGAAACATTACTTTACACAACATTAATTTACATCAAATTCTATTTTGTCATTTTGTGTTCTGTAGAAAAATAAATAATGTTTTTTTTTTTTACTGTGAATATCGTTTATATTTCCTATAATATCTCCAATATTCCTTTAAGGCTCCATTCTTTGCCTAACCTTCCAACCATCCTAAATTTCTCCCTTTCATGTTCATAAGTTTTACAGTTCATCAGTACATGTTCTACATTTTCTTTTTCTCCACATCCTTCACATTTATCATTATTTTTCCTCCCTATTAAATATAAATTGACATTTAATTAGTTATGACCCACTCTTAATCTGAATTATTATTTTTTCCCTTTTGTTTCTCTCATTAATGATTCTATTCAATACTGACTTTTGGACCTTATATAATCCTCTTCCTTTCTTATCTTCGTTCCATCACTTTTGCCATTTTTTTACTCTTAATAAGTGATTTTCCTTCACCTTTCCCAAAAGGAATTGTAATCATTATTGTTCCCTGTAAAGCAGGGGCGGAGCTAGATGGGTGGCCAGGGCCACCCTTAGCCAATCATTGGCCACCCCTGTGGCCACCCCTACCATTTTTTCCCCCTCTCATACAGTAACAATAATAATCTCAAGTGGAATATTCAAAATTTTTATGGTTAATAATATACATCAATACACTAACAGGATGGATTTGCCCACTGTAGCAGCATTTAATTTATTGATTGATTTTATTAATCTCATAGTGGAGAAATGTACTCGTTACATCAGCTCAAATAGAGAAGAATAAAAGAGTAGAGAAGGTGCCAGAGGAAGAAAAAGGTGCATGAGATATATACAGTATATACAGTGAATCCACACATGAACGCTCTTTTTTAGTTTTTATTGCAGAATCATTATACAGGTTATTGCACAGGGTTTTTTTTTGTTTGTTTTTTTACATGTGTATTTATATAGATAGATACTTATAGTTATTTCACTGGGTTTGAAATATAAATGAACAGGTTATTGCACAGGGTATCAAATAGTAATTGTACTTTATACATTGCACAAGTATATTTGCCCTCTATATTTTAAGTTAAGATAAAATAAGTCATTAATAAGTTACAATATTTATCAAAAAGTAAGAGGTTCTCATGTGTAAGGATGTGCAATATTTCTAATTGTACTATAGTTCTTTTGCAAATGGGCATGTTTTATTGCTCATTTGCAGGTTTCAGGATGTTTAGGGGTGTGGCTTCTGATTGAGTGTTAGTCAGGTAACTGGAGTGGAGCCACACTCATTTACATTTCTCTAATCTTCTTTCATTATTTGATTTTTGATTTATATTTCCTACATGTATGGGTCATATTCTTTGAAGTAAATGGCTGAACCTAATGGAGAGGATCCAGTTTGTTTGTTTTTTACAATCAAGTGGATTAGAGGGGGAAATAGCGTCAAGCTTACGGGTTCATTACTAAGGAATCTTTCTCCACCATTACAGCCCTAAACACATCTGGTCCAACAAACTGACTTCAGACGGAGCATAATTGATGATATTTAAAAAAATTCATACTACTTTCGTGATTTTCTGCACCACACGGGAAAACTGGTCAAGTTTAGAGGCGCGATGATGGATGAAGCTGAACATAAAAAACTCAGACATTACAGAGCCAGATCTTCACTGGAATCGCTTTAGAATAAAATGATAAACATGTGCTAGAATGGTCCGGTTAAAGTCCAGACCAAAAACTAAGCTAGAATCGTCCAAGCCTTCCATCTCAACTGATTTAGGTTAAATTCTTTAGCTAAAAAGAATAGGCAAATATTTCAGAAGGAAGATTTTTAAGAATAACTTGCCAGATGCAGGAAAAATTGGTTGTAAAAAGTATTGATCCAGGAGGACTTGTATACAAATGCATGTTTCGCAAAAATGAACACACTATAGTGTGTTGGTCTGATCCACATAATATAAATATAAAAAGATTAAGTGTATTTCTTTTATGGTTAAATGGCATTGAAATATATTACAAATGTAAGTGAATGGCTTTTAAATACTTATTGGACATTTTCTGGTATATTAAATTTACTGACAAGAAATATGTTTGGGTGAGTTAAGGCTTTTAAACATAAGAATGCAGTTTCAGGCAAAGTGTTGGCAGCATTATGCTGTGGATCTGTTGAGCTATTAATGGTAATATACACAAACTGGATTGAAAAAATGAAATTTTACATCATGCACCAACAATTAGTAGTAAAACCTCTTACTAACAGGATACTGACATCAAACACATTATAAAACATGTTTAGGAAATGGATAAGGCAGATTAAAACACATAAAATAGGTTTAAAAAAGCAACTCTAACTCCAAAAACATTTTTTTATTATTCGAAAAGATGATCCATATTTACCTAAACAGAGATTAAAAATCAACTCCAAAGTGTTTAGAGAGTTTAGATTTCCGCAGTTTTTACAGTTGAATTAAATGCCATTATGTTAGCTTTAGAATGGTTGCTTGATGATAATGTTAGGGAAGGAAATAGTTATAATATTCCCTCAGATTGTCAATCTGCATTATAAAGTATCAAATCTGGCAAGTCTAGTAGATTAGATCTATTATTAGATATATATCACCTATTAGTTCAGCTTCATAATGAGAAATGTTTTGTTCGATTTGTCTGGATTCCTGCTTATGTAGGGATTGAAGGAAATGAAGAAGTAGATATATTAGCTAAACAGGCCTTAAAATCAGATATTATTAACTTAAGTTAAACAATTCCCTCATAAGTGGCATCATCTGTAGGACATAGATTCCCTCTCCTGAGGTTGATGGATCAAGATCTGCCTTTGGGTTTTGAAAGTTGCGATTATACTTAATTTTTTTTAGCTGATGAGACTAATTTGTATCTGTTTGCCCTCGTAAAATATAGTTTGGGTAAAAACGTTGTCAAATTAGGTTGGTTTAGTCAAAAGATTGGTTGAACACAACTTCCAACCCGATTAAAACCAAAAAAATGTGTAATAATGTTAATTGGAAAAAAAATTTTTGAATAAAAATGACTAACACTTTTCATTTTGCTCATCAATGCCCAATTTTCACAAACACTTTCACTGTCTGCTTCACTTCAGCTTATTTCACTAAAATGGCAGAAAAACAGTGCACCTTAAATGATTGTTTCAAGACATTTTGCACTGAGAAAAACTTAAAAAAGATTTTATTATACACACCAACCATTAAAAATGTCAAAGGAACACAAAAGGGAGAAAAAAAAGAAAATTGCAAAAAAAACCACACATTTTATTAAAAAACTGTAGTTCTGCACTCCACCAGTAGGTGGGGACATTTTCAAATGACGCTTCATGAACTGTGGGGATCGTTGAAGCAATTTTGCCAAACGGTTCAAGGCCTCCTGAAGCCTCATCTCACAATCACTACTTTTGACTTTTAAAACACGTTATTTACACAATTCAAACATATAAACAATTGACGGAAAACAAGTGTCAGTTAAAATCGTTAAATGAGGAGCTTGTTCAAATGGAGTTCTCCATCATCTGACACAGTACATAAAATGTTTTTAAAACCCCACAGCTGAATAAAATCCTCCATGTTGTGTTTGGGTCCATAGAAGTGAAACTCCGGCCTTATTCTGGCTTTAGCGTTGCACTTCCACAGAGCCATGGCATCAAGGTGAAGAAGAAGTGTTGAGAGAGTTTAGATTTCCGACATTTTTGAACGCAGCATACTTTCCTTCCCTGTTGTTACGGAAGTGACGAACTCCCAGCTCAAACATGTGCGTCCAGGAGCTACACGCAGAGGGGAGCTTTTAGTTGGGTTTATCTGGACATTAGTGGAAGCAGTAGAAGGAAAACTTGACCCACCGAGAGAAATGAGTGAACCTGAACGCTACCCTCCCCCGGACTTCAGCTTCATGCAGCCCCAGCAGCAGCAGCAGCAGCCCCGCTCCAGCAGCTTCCATCCCAGCATGTGGACCTGGGGAGAGACGCCCTCTGAGCCCAGCTGGAGCTACAACCAAGGCGGCTATCATCATCCTGCTCCATATGGACCTAAACCTACATTCAGTTAGTAGATCCTTTACTCACTGTTTATATAATATAAACATTAACTGATGCAGGAATATGTCAATGGTTATTATGGTTGTATTCAAATGTATACAGATGCATCTAAAAGTGTGAGTAATAGGCTAGTTATTGCATTTTATGTTCCAGATTTCAATATAAAAGTAAATAGAAGAATAAATAATTATTAGATTTACAATAGATAGAGGAAGTTAGACCAAGTAAGTTAGACATTTTAATTGAAATACAGCAAGTTTTATATCAAGTTCAAATGATGGGAATTAGTGTTATATATATTTGGGTGCCAGGACATATTGGGATTAAAGGAAATCAAAATGTAGATAAGATTGCTAAGGAAGCATAAAAAAATAAATAAAACCATTGATGTGATGATTAACTTAAGTAAGATAGAAATTAAACGTATAATTAAACAAAGGATGAAGGAAAGGAGAGGAAGATGGTTTTATAGGATTCAGTGGAAAATCTAAGTCTGGAAATAAACTGTTATTTCCAGACTTAGATTTGGACAAACAGGATTAAATAATACACTATTCAAAATAGGGAAACATTTTAGGAAAATGTGAATATTGTGGACAAGATGAAACAGTAGAACATGTAGTGATGTATAGTAAGAAGCATGAAGAAGAAAGGAATTTGGTTAGAGACCTAAATAAGGAGAAAGTTACATTTGATTTGATAGATATTCTGCAGAAAAAGTAAAAATAAGCAATATTTATTTGAATATTTAATAATAACAGGAATAATCAGGAGGTTTTAGTATTTTTAAAGTAATAATATAGATATATAGATTAAAAATAAATAAAAGTATCTTTAGGAATACTGTAGGGCCATTCTGATCCACACTCCTCAGCAGTTGGTGGCAGTAATGCACCGAAAAGTTATTTACCAACCGCCATTAAACGCAACAACAAGACAAGCTTCAGAATTATGATCTGTTGGCTTTAATTTAGTAATATAATGTGTCTCTTCACTGATTCATGTGGATTTTGTTCTCTTAGATCAACATTATGCTGGTGAGTGGTATCAAGCTGGATATCAGAACCACAGACCTCCCTACCAGTACAACAAAAAGGTGACTTTTTTTTTATCTCTTTGTCTTCCCTTTACCTCTTTCACATTTACCTGCAGTAGCAGCATAAAGGTTATAGCTTAGAAAGGTTTATTTACAATTTAAATGGTCTCACAAATATGGACCATAGAAAAATATATAAGAATAACATAGTAGTGAAGAGTTAAAAAGATAAACAATAAAATACCGTAAAGTGTTTTAACAATATAAAACTGTGCACATAGAGAATAAATAACCAATATACAGCTTTGAACATTTTTTACAGG